TTATAAAGTGCATAACTTAGGAGGAAAAAATATTGGTCTTATTTTCTAGTGAGGAGCCAATACTGTTTGACGTTTTCGAAAGTTAACGAGGATATACAAACAGAAATATTCACGTTACGATGGTGTTCTTTTTTTAAATAGATGCCCGTGTATTGAACAAGGAAGCAGCATTCTTTGAAGCCTCTGGACTGAAGCAAACCATCTTTGAAAAAATTCTGAACAGGTGACGTTTTTTCAGAGGATCTACATTTGAGATCATTTTTCTCTTAAGCTAAACAAGCCAATGTTTCATAACTTTGCGACCTATTACAAAATATTGTTTACTGTTTTAACTGCCAATAACATTGCTGTACCAATAATAAATATTTAATAAATGGTCTCAATCTTTCATAATATGTGACAGCTAAGCCTATAGAAAAATAATATTTAAAGATCACCAACTTCAATTTTTTTGAAAATCCTACAAAAGGACCCTCCCAGATCAGGGAACAAATATTATAAAGAAACTTGTTGCATTATTCCATTTGCAGCGAGAAAGCTAGGCGTTCGAATCCCATCTTTTCGAGGATGGAATAAGGCAATAAACACATGTCAAGTCAGCCTAAAAAAAGTGGGCCTAAGCTTCTGAGTCGTTTGAACATGACCATATTTACAGATGAAAACCAGTTTTCGCACTATGAGGAATACATGTCTGTAAAACACATTTCTGGCGCGCTTCGCTCAGCTTTAATGCCGGAAATCTAATACACAGTGACACACGCTCAGGCTATCCGTACATATTTGCAGACAAAGCGACGAATTGAAATGCTCCAACACCAGCATAGGACCTCGTAAGGTGGAACATGAACACTTGACGTGACCCTTCCACCATTCCCTCTTAAGCTGAGAAATGCGTTGAACGAAAGGCATGTTGCATTCAAAGCGCCGCGTGATTTGCAGATCACTCATATCAGTGGTTGACACTAATAAAAGACGATCATAATCTGTATCACTAGATGAGCTTAACCAAGCGTACCTAAAACATAGGCCTGCAACACCTCGCCACAATATGCACTAAAACAATCTTAAGATAACGAATTGCCTCTGTAACGAATTGCCTCTGCGTTGATAACGAATTGCCTCTGCATTGCATAGAGCATTTTGAAATTCTTCAATTGTATGGGCCCCCTGCGTCACCATTCAGATGCCGGCTTAATTGAACCCGAGCTTGACGCTCTTAATTGGTAGAGGGAGGTTGCGTGCTTTGCTAATACTAACCAATATGCTGAGTTAAAATTGCACATTTTACCGTTTTCTACCCTATGATATCAATGAGTGCCTCCAAGAAGGGGCACGCCTTGAATTGGTGAGCCGGCAACCAGTGGATGGTAATGATAAACTGTCTGCTAGTTCAGGCTCCGGCAGCAGTGTCACCTAATTTCGATATTCGTTATGATTCGATTGTCTCTTGTGCATTATTGCTGAAGCATACTCAGCCAAAACTTTAAAAACAGATGACTGTCATAGCTGCCTCATGCGTGAACGTCAATAACCAACGTGCCTGTAAGTTGGGGGATTTCAAGCCTCGAATCCATAGAGCACATTTACGCATTTTAGGCGTGCTTAACGGTCAATCCCGTTTACTACAACTATTTATCTTCTGTAGTTACGGTCAGGTTCAAATGACAAAGATGGTCAAGTCCACTTTTTTAGGGCCCATCTGTCATGTGCTAATTGCGTTAGTGCTTATTCGAAAAGCTGGGGCTCATACCCGTAATAGTCCCAATGCAAATGAAATACTGCAAACTGTTCATATTATTTTTCTGTGATCTGGGAAGGTCTCTTTGTGGAATTCAGGAAAAAAATCAAAGTTTACTTGTTTTATTATTAGTTTTTTATTAGGCTTAACTGTCAGTCAAGTCGAAAGTTTGAAGTCATTTAATGAAAGATGTATTTGAGATACGTCATCAGTATTCGCAGGTAATATTGTAAACATTATGTTAGTAAGAAACACTGACTGGTTTAGCGTGAAACAACACTAATCTCAAATATAGCACCTTTAAAAAAAGTTGCCAATCCAGAGTTTGTTTAAAGAATGGTTCGCTTCAGCCTTTAGGCTTCAAATAATGCTGTTTCACTCTTCAATACGCGTTCACTTGTTTAAAATAAGATCGCCTTCATGGCGACATAAGCTGTGTTATTATACTATCGTGAAATTGTGAGAATGGCAAGGGATGAAAATGGCCCCTCCACACGGAATAAATTTGATATTATTTCGTCCTAAATTATGCAGGTATTAAAAAGAAACAAAGTTCACTTTCGGGCTACCAGGTGGTATGTATGCCAAATATAAAATGCTCAACCATATCTAAAATATAAACTTTGGCCCGGGTCAATCTCTCGTGAATAAATTTTTTTGCGAGTGCAAACTAAACGAACGAGGCACACTCGACGATATCTCGGGTCTAGTTCGTTAAATTTTAGTTTTCCTAATGTTCTTTTGTATTAGGCCGTTTTTCGAGGCAAATGTAGAAATGAGGACAGTATTTCTTGAAGAGCATTTTTCAGGATATAAACTGTCTTGATGCCGTTGTGCCCGTGACTCTTCAGCGTTCTACGAGCAAATACAGAGTTAAAATTGCGAAACGCTTTAAAAATTATTTGTGTCGCACGCACAGTGCTGTGTATATATAAAGAAGTCACAGTTTACGATATCATAAAGGTACACCTTGGTTTCGAGACCTCTATCTCTACTTGCCCCAGTAAAATTACGTATCATGTCAGTCCCTTAAAAAGTTGTTTTCATGACGCACGAAAGGGCCAGACAAGTTTTTCAGCTTTCTTCAATAAAACGTGTCTTGAGTCACTGTAGGACCACGGCAAGTGGCTGAGTGACAGTTTTTAGTTTACTTTTACTTACTTTGTGCGGCAAGCTTGAGGAAGCATGCCAGCCGTTTTGCTGCATTCGCTTCGGCACGCAGCATTGCTTTGGCTGCAAACAATGCAGTGTCCGACCGTTTGGCTGTAACTATAGGCTTCGTGTGCCCACGTGGCACCCCCCCCCCCCCTCTCCGTAGGGCTGAGGCACCTGAGATGAACGCTCATGGTTTCTTTTTTGAACTCAAGAGAAATAAACCAACCCCCACGTGGGCGACGAAGAGGTAGGGTAGGAATGGAAACAGCGTTGTAACAACCCTTCCCCCCCCCCCCCCGATTGTCTCGTGGCACGTTTGGCTTGCTTTTGCGGTCCGCGCGCCTAAAGCTCGCTGCCGGTTCGAGGCGGCAAGTTTGCGTTGCGATACAATGAGATTGCCGTCGACCTTTCGCCACGGTTCGGCTTACTTCGGGTGGCTCTCGGAAGTGGGCGCGCTTGCGACACGTGAAAGCGCAGCCTACGTCACGGTGAACCAGCGCCTTGTCGGCGCTTTTTATGAGTGCTGTTGCATTGTCATGTCTTCGACTGCTTCCGCGCTAATCCTTTTCAAGTGAGAGCCTAAGTAGAACCACGTGCGGACAGCGAGCGGTTTCTCTTACAGCGCACGTGTGATGGGCGGATTATTGCCCTGTCGTCATGAAGTTGACGTGTTACAGGGATGCTGTCGTTATGGCCGCAAACCCGACCACGTGCACCTCAAAGTCTCAATAATTGTGCGCCGCTGCGCTTACCCACTGCTCTGACTTTTTCTGGTTTTGTTTTATTCACATTTTGGTTGTGTTATTTGGAAAGAGGGCATGAGCCCTCACGTGCACGAAGGTGGCGTCCTTGCGGCGGGTTTTCGATCGACCAAGTGTATACTGTCTTTAGGCGACGATTCACCGAAGAGTTGTGTAAGGGCCGAGCACCGAGGGAATACGAAGAGGTGCCGGGGTCCCGCCATGTCTTCTGGACCGGGCTTAAGATGTTAGGCACCATCGACTTTGCCGGATCCCGTAGAGTCGCCCTACAATAGACGTTTATTTCCAAAATGTTTTCTTTTTTGTAGTTGATAATGATGTTACTATTATGTCCTTAACTTCGTATATTCTGTACAGTTTGTAAATATAAGTTTTTCTCGGGCTTATTTGAAGTTCTCCAATGTTTTAATTCCTCTTCATGAGACCAGGAAAATATTCGCCGCTATATGCATAGCGGCAGCACGTTTCTTTTCCCACTTTGCAATACCACCTCGGGAAGTGCGTCTGGGGCACGTCTCGGCCGCCTCTACCAGCCGCCACCCTCGTCTTGTTCTTGTTGATGTTTACCTATTGTCCGTAGCACATACCCAATCTGGGTGATTGGCCGAAAATTCAGTGGTTTTATATAATATTGTGCAGCTTTAGAATAATGAATAATATATACTAGAAAGATTACCGGTGACCTAGGAATTGGTGGTGCTTGTCTAATGCATATATTTATTTAAATAAAGAAACGAATTTACTCTTAAAAACAGCAATACTCTAATTTTTATTTGTATACAATCATTTAGACTTGTTAGGATAATAATAGAGAATGATTAGTCGACCTATTAGCTGGAGCGGCTGAAAAGCGCGCGCTTTGACCGCCAGGGTGGCGCTGCCCGCATCGTGGAAACTCCAGCGCTGGTTCAGCCAGCGCTGGTTCGCAGGTTGGGCTTCGGCCAGAAGAACGCTTTCGACGCCATTTCTGCTTACCTTGAAGAAACGAAACGAATGGGACTTTAGGTTCCCTCTAGTGTGAGTATTATTATTGCATCAAATATTTTATAACGGGAAAAGTTTTATGTTTTTGTAATCACGTTGATTTGTGTTCAAGATGAAAACTGTACTATCTGATCATAACGGGTGAAAAACAGTTACTGCCATCTTTCCGTTTTACGTACGTTCTTTTTCTCTTGCTTGTCAATATTCAGTGCTAATCAACGTCTCAATAATTAACATAATCAATTCTTAGACTATTCTCCTGAGCGGGCATAAGCCACGAATGAGGCATTCTTATCATCATGAACATCTCGAAAGAGTGCCGAGTGTTTCGTGCGTGTGGTAACTGACGTCTTTGGTGGAAGATGGCGAAGGATTACTACAAGGTACTCGGCCTCCGCCAAGGCGCCAGTGAGGACAGTGTCAAGAAAGCATACCGGCATCTCGCACTCATGTACCATCCAGACAAGAACAAGTCGCCGGATGCTGAAATTAAGTTCAGGGAAATTAAGGAGGCTTACGAGGCTTTGAGCACGCCGAAACACGGTACCACTGAACGCTCATACGGACATTTCCGCCCAAGTGACGGCAGCAGCAGCGGACTGTTTAGGCCAGGGAGTGTGTGGGCCAGTTACAACGACGGACGTAACAGTTACGCTGATGGCCGTTTCACCAGGTATTTTTGTTCCTACAAGTCAAGTCATTACTCTTATAACGTCAGCTCCAGTGGTCAGCAAGGTTCCAGTAAACGCCGCTCATTTTGGGGCTTTTTATTCGCTTATTCCACCCACACGGAGACGTACGGGAGTTTTCAACGCTTCTACTATCCAGGCGTAGTACATCCTTTCCAAACTTGGGCAGCACCGTATAGTCGTTGCCAGAATATTTTTGATGGATCTCTTGGTTTCAACGCGCCGCTTTCAGAGGAGTACAACAGCAGCGGATTGTCAAGCCACCCTCAGAAACCCGGAATCTCGCTTGCTGAACGCCCTCTTTACGTAACCCTTGAAGAAATCCTGCAGGGTTGCAACAAGAAAATAAAAACGACATGGCTGGTGCCAATGGCTGGCGGCGCGACTTCGAGGGTTGAAGAGAAGCTACTGAATGTATACGTAAAGCCAGGCTTGCCAGAGGGATCGAAAATTGTGTTCAAACTCCAAGACGTGGATTTGCAGCGACCCGCTTCCGCGGACGTCACGTTTGTCATCCGCTACAAGCCGCACCCTTTGTTCAAGTCTCAAGGCAAGGACATTTATTACGTGGCCAAGGTGGACAGCGCCCTCGGTGCCCAGGGTGGGAAAGTTAATGTGCCCACGCTGACCGGAAACACGATCTCGCTTCCACTAGATGGTGTCATTCAGTTCGGTGCCAACTGGCGCATTGAAGGCCATGGTCTGCCCAACCCTGTGGATACGACAAAACGCGGAGACCTTATCGTCATATTTGATCAGGGCGTTCCGGTCGCCTAAAGCCTCACGTCGAATGCCCTTTGAACAAGGAAGACCCGAACCAACAGAAAAGTCGCTGAGATGTTCGAGTCACGTCTGGCTAACAACCAAAGGCTCAATAAAAATTTTGTTCTAGACCGTCGGACGAATTCTATGCGAGCGTTGCTTCTCAATATGACACGAAGTTTCACGCGTAGACTTGTGGCGATCGCACACTGTCTATTGTAGAAAATCTAAAACCCGATTTTGTTCATCTAGACTGGCAGCCCACCAGCGCACAATCTTGGTGATTACATGACGGAAGACCTCACCACAACGCTGTACTCGCAGCCAAGTTCAGCGCTGTGTCACGCTGTCACTTCGGCGTGATGATGTGGTCTTCCTTTTTATTCTCGTCGTGATGTAGCACTGGCGGGTTGCTTTTTATGAATTAGTAAAGATGGTGGTGCTGAATAACCCAATAAAGAGCATGTTTCTGACATGGCACTTATTTGAGCAAAATAGGTTTAGCCTTAAAACCGCCTGGGCTGCGTGCATAGAGTTTCCTAAAATTAGCTAGAAGGGACTCTGGCGCTGCGATCGTTCAGAGGCAATGGGAGTGATGTCTAGTATACGGATTTGCCTAGTCTTTATACTAGTGGGCGGCGAATTGTACTACTGGCTTCATTTATTGTTGTGTTCCCGTTTTGTTTCGAAGGAAAGAACAAAACCTTTAAAACTTCTTGACCCGAGTTGAAATGGCAAGCCTACAAAAAATAATATTGTGAAGCGCCACTGCGGGATTTTTTTTTCAATTTTGCTTTCGTGAGAAAACAGCTCGAGGCCACATAGACGCAAACCGAGCAAGAAGTACGAAGGTTAGACAAATCCGTGTATTACCCATCATTCCATGCTAGCTGAAGCGCCATGCGTTGCAGCTTTCTTGACACTATAGCGCCAGAGTTCCCTCTAGTGTTTATTTAGGAAACTCTATGGTTGCTCGGACCAGGCAGCAGAGTCAGAGTGAAAGCTAGAAGAGAGCCTTTCTAACGTTCATTCTAAACTCTTTCGGTGCACGTTAAAGAACACCAGGTGGTCGAAACTTTCCGGAGCCTTCCACTATCGCGTCTCTTATAATCATATGGTGATTTTAGGACGTTAAACTCCACATATCAACCAATCAATCATTCTAAACTGTCTTGAAACCACGGATGCAGGTACACTTGTGAGGTATCCGCTACGCAATAAATCATAATTTTTGTGAAGTATAGAAAGCGTGCACTGTGCCAGTATTTATCACTCCATGGACTTTCATTCGTTCACTTTCTAGAGGAATTGAAATAAAAATTGGCAGATGCCAGCTACAGTGGCAATCAATGATATGCGAAGCATGAATGAGAAATGTTAAGAAGTCCCTTTAAAATCAGCACAACAATAAGAGGTGGAGGTAAATGATGCCGTACATGACTTCCGTGTCATGATTATCATGTTTTGATGCGTCGTTTACCTTCGTCATCTATTCAAGTCAGGTGATACCAAGTTTAGTATACGTCGAGCTAGAGAAACAGCTGCGAGGACGCTGTGAGCGTGGTATGTTGTCCTGTTCTTACATGACATGCGTGTCAGGATTATCATGTTTGCCCCAGTCATATACTTCGTCATTTATTGACGTCACGTACCGCCAAATTGGTATATGTGGAGCTAGCAAAACGGCAACGAGCGCATCATGAAGGACCCAATATTCTTCTATGTAGCTTTTACGCGCGCGCACCCTGGGAACAGCGGCGAGACGTTAGCGAAACGCGAGCACTCTCTTGTCTCACGCCAAGTGCGACCAGTGTCCGTCGGCGCGGCCCGAAGGCCACCGGCGCGAGATGCGACATGCTGCATTTCGCGCCAATGCCAAAGAGTAACATTACACTATGCCGATGCGTTACCCAGACAACACTGCGTATCCCTCTTTTCGTGGTTTAGGTATGCCGGACGTGCTGAAACGCACATGCATCAAAGCAATGCAGCGTGGCACGCACCTGCGAGCGTATGGCAGGACCTGCGCCTGGCATGGCAACGCCTGCGTGACGCGACGAAATGAACGTCGGTGAGCACGCGCACCACGTCACGTCGAAAGGTATTGGCGCCTTGACTGTGGCATGTAGTCATATTTTCATATGACATGCATCTCATGATGATCATGATTGCACCAGTAACATATCTTCGTCATTGATTGATATGTGGGGATTAGCGTCTCACTTCGTCATTGATTGGCGTCACGTAATACCAACTTTGGCATATGTGAAGCTAGCAAAATAATCACGAGCTCATTATCAGTGTGGAATAAAGTCAGGCTGTTACATGACTCGTACGGGTGTCATGATTATCATGCTCGGATGTGTCATTACCTATATCATGCGTTCCCGTCGCGTAATACCGCGTTTGGTACATGTGAAGCTAGCGAAACGGCCGCGAACGCATCATGAGCGTAACATGTAGTCATACTGTTACATGACACACATCTCATGTTTATCATGGTTGCACCAGTATTATACCTTATTCATCCATTCACGTCCGGTATACCAAATTTGGTATATGTGACGCTAGCAAAACGGCCGTGAGCGCATCATGAGCGTGGCATGTAGTCATGTTGTTACATGACACGCATGTCATGATTTTCATGTTAGGGTCTGTCACTTGTGTTCGCCATGCAATCATGCCATCCCATACTAGTTTTGCAACATGCCATGTGAACGAAATTATCGTAAGAGCTGCAGGACTATGAAATGTAAATCATGAGATTCTTGCATACATTTCATGATTTCCATGCTATGGCTAGTCAAATATGTTCTTCATACAGCCATGTTATGCCATACCAAGTTGGTACCGATACCATTATTGAAACGGCCAGAAGAGCTATAAGTCCTAGGCGGAGATAGATAGATAGATAGATAGATAGATAGATAGATAGATAGATAGATAGATAGATAGATAGATAGATAGATAGATAGATAGATAGATAGATAGATAGATAGATAGATAGATAGATAGATAGATAGATAGATAGATAGATAGATAGATAGATAGATAGGTAGATAGATACGCTCAAAGTCGCCGAAGTTCGCTAAGAAATGCTTCGCGTATAAAAAAAATCGCAGCATATCCACGGAGTGAATGATGATTGGGAGGGCGCAGCGTTCGTCAGTCTGTCTGTCCATTCGTTCTTGCGTCCGCCTATCTGTGTGATCCTCGGTGCATCCGTCCGTTTGTTCATTCGTCTGTATGTCCGTCCATCTCTTTTCGTCTGTCTGTCCGTCCGTCTGTCTGTCCGTCCATCCCTCTGTCCGTCCATCCCTCTGTCTGTCCATCCGTCCGTGTGCCCTTCTGTCTGTCCGTCCATGCATGTGTCAGTCCGTTCGTCCGTCCATATGTATAGAGAAAACTCCAAGCGCAGCCATCTCACATCTTTTCATCATGTATTCATCATATATACAAGTGCCCCCATCCAGCAGACATTGTAAGGACCGCTATTTCGGGTATGTGCTACTGGTGGTTACGTACTACGAGGGACGCGCGAGCCACGCCATAAGGAGCTTCGCCCCTAAATGTATTATCATCATCGTATTGTCGCGTGTGAAAAAGAGGGACTTCTGGTAAGGAATACCGTGTATAGTCGCAAAGACGCAGGTCAGTCACGCGACACAAAACTAAAAAGCCTCGGCGAGAGCACGCACTGTCCCCAAAACGACTTCCTCGTTTGTTTCTCCTAAATGCAGGCTCGTGCTCGCCGCATGCAATTCATGGCAAGGTGGCATTATTCCCCCACTGAAAAAAAAAAAGCATCGCTCAGATGCTCACGCAAATGGTAGCGATACCCCACGTTTGGGTGCTATCAGTCTCATTCTGCGATTGATCGGACTTTCTGTAGTCCTAGCCTCTGTATTTCTGCATGGTCTACTTCGAACTCGGGTACAAATAGTGACCATTTTCCTATATTGTTTAAGCTTGTATGTCCCGTGGCTCCTGTAATCAGGCAGCCCACTTCTCACATCAATTCAAATCAATACAGTTGAACAGACACTATTTGTGGCTTTCTCAAAACGAACCGAGGAAAAGAAATAACGAAATGTTATCAGCTTCCCTGATATAAAACAATCTTTAAATAAAGCTAAATTCACAGCTGAGGTCTCTGTCTCTTCTGTCTTTCTTATTTCGCGAGTTTTTGCGCTCCCATTTCTATGTGAATTCTATGTGAGTTCTATGTGAGCTTTAAACAACGTCCTTTGAATAATTGATAAAAGTCTGATTGTTCACCTCAACACAGGCTAAGAAAAGCGGCGTGGCGAAAACTGCTCTAACCAGTGTCTTAAAAACTGGAGAAATTTTATATACGCGCCTGAACTTTTTAAGCGAACAGTTGCTGCTGCGAAGGCTCAATATGATAGTTAACGTTCCGGGTTCCTTTCAAAGCCCGACCACAGGAAATCACTTTTCAACTTGCTTAAAGCCAAAAAAGTAATCGCACCACCAACAAACCTTGAATCGATAGTCTCAACGCCAAGTGAGTTGCCTACTTCTCTGCAAAATATTGCTGAAGGGCTGTGACACTTCACGGCTGCTTACTTTTACCACTCGCCGTGCCCTGTTAACAGCGATGACGTTGAAGAGATTACATCGTCGGAAATAGCACAAGTAGTGAAAATATTGCCTGATTCAGCACCAGGCCTTGATGGCATAACTTAATCGGTGATAAAAATAATCCATAAAGTAACGCCTCAAGATTTATTTGCAATAGTTAACCACTCCTTTAGGCATTTATGGATTCCGCCTGAGTGGAGAATCGCGAAAATAATTCCTTTGTTAATGAAACAAGGAGCGGGGTTTACTTCGGATAAGATTAGGTCTATTTCACTCGCATCTAATCTGCTAAAACTAATCAAAAAAAAATTCTACACATTAGAATAGACAACTAGCTGCTTGGACGAAAACGCATATTTTAACCCCATGCCAATTTGGATTCAGGCGTGGCTGATCCATTTAGTGTGCTCATG